TTTTCAGAAAATAAAACATTATCTGCACCCCTATTGGACGTCTTTATTATGTCCAAAAAGTGCGACATTAAAACATTGACCTTATTTGCACAACATGTAGACATAATAGGTAACTGACCGACAGACTATAAATACCTGATCTGCACTTTAATCAGTGGCTATTCTCTCAATGTAAAAAAATAAAAAGAATAAGCATCTCAAATATTAATTATACATATAAAAAGGGTCATGAGAGAGACACTTAGGTCATGAGAGATCTAAGTGGAAATAAGTTACACTGTCTGCATGTAGGAAAGCAAAATGACATAGAGGAAGATTGATCGACATGGTAGAAAGGGACGAGGAAAAAAAAGAGTGACATGAGTGTGAGATAAGAGAATCAGATACAGCCAAGATACAGAGACAGACAGAGAGATAAAGAGATGGAACGCAAGAGAGAGAGAAGTTGGGGGAGGAAGCTGACTCCTCTACCGATTCACAGGTTGTGTTTTTTTTTACTAGTCTGCCTTTGAGCTCTTGCTAGTGTCATATTAAGATCATCCATTTGAGAATCAGAGAAGAGCCTTTGATGTTCTTTGTGCACACAAACACACGGGGATAGAGTGCTCCTTTGAAAAAGCCAAATTCATATGCATTTCTTATTCTCAGTCTCTGGCCTGATAGGGACAATGCTGTCTACAGGAGCAGCTCAAACTGGTTAATATTTTAATACACATGTTCATAATTCATTGCTTAATACATTAAAATAAATTGTTTTACCCATCCACACTTTGAAGCTTTCATAAAAATGTGTTCCCTAATCAGCCTTCACTGTTTTTCCTAATTTAGGTTCTACAAGGCACAGCAGGTGGCAAAAATAATACAAGAGTTGCAAAGAAAGGGATTTAAAACAGTAAGTAAAGAGTTTGCAAGAAAAAAAACTGGAGAAGTTTAAGAATATAAACATTCTTTAATGGTCAAAAATGATCTCCATAGTGTTCTCCAAAAGAATAATAGTTCTATAGATGTTATCTGAATAGAATGATAGCTTTCTAATTCAAAAGATAAATGAAAAACTTAAAGTTTACAGTCTAGGATAAATGAAAAATGGAAGCTCCTTTCATGGTGAAATCAATTGAACTGTTAAACTAAAACTGTTACTAACTGTTGCTTTTTCAAGTTCTTTGATAATTATATTAATGTCATTATTGTCCTGTCAGATGTAAAAACATTTCACAAAACAGTTCGGCAATACCTTTATAAAAATAGGTTCTTGTTTAAGAAGCTGTTGATCAAATGTAAATCACCAGTCAAACCCAAAGTGAGCCACTAAAGTAGAGCATTATGGGTTGAATAGCAGATACCTGCAAAAATCATCAATATAACTTACCATGGCGACTGTTACGCTGTCCATTTCCTAATTGGTGGTAGGGCTGAACATGCTTTGCAAATATGTTGTCATAACAAAGTACAAATACAGCACTATATTGTTTTTTTCCATCCCTAAGGGAATTTAAACGAGAGCTCTGGCTGTCTTAGGTTCTTTAATTAAGAACTGCAAGCAAGAAAAATATCCTGTAGCAGCTTTTGCTGAGCTTCCTCTAAGGGAAAAGACTATTTGCTAAGTTACAATGATGCTTAGTGTTCTACACAAGGGAACATTGGACAATACCTTTGGATTCCCTTCACAGTGCTTGTATGCATGCAAACATAATTTTTGATGAGAAACTGCCATGAAGTAATGTACTGTAACTAAGGCTAAATGGCTGAAAGAATAGGGCAAACAGGGTTAACATAAAAAAAATGTACTATAAAACTACTATTTGTTTTTGTAGAACATTTTCTCTAAAACGCTAGTTATAATTGGGATGTTATTTTTTTTGTCTGTCTACCTAAAATATGGCAGCCCAGTATATGATGATGTTCATCATAGGCATAGACTAAAAATGCTCATCAATGTTCCACATGTGTATATCTTTAAGTCCATTTCACTTCAGTGGGACATCATGACCGCTATTAGTTTAGTTTTCTCATTTAACAACTTATCTGTTCTTAAAACAAAGACTTGTTAAAGAACTTTGGCTCCTCGGATTTCTCATCTAGGTTCTCTTGACATAGTTTCAGACTCTGCACTGCAGATGTGGAATGAAGAAACTCTGACAATGTCTCATGTTGGTTGGACTGAAGGGTAAAATTAAGTAGTACTGTCAGGGGTTATGAGGCTGCTCACAAACTCTCAGTCAGGGCTGCAGGGGTGATGCTCAGTGCATTGATTTTGTGCAGAGCCACAATGATGGAAAGCTGAAGTTCACACCTGTCTCAGCAGTGACCACTTTGCACCTGGTGGTTTTTACAGACTTTCATCAATGACAGCAGGGGTCAGCGAATAAACTGCAGCTGCAGATGGAAGAGTTTGACAAACTTTCATTATTTCTTTACAAGATCTTGAGAAAAAGCTATTTTTATATTTTGTTAATCAGGATAGAAAATCACAATCATCGATGCAGGCTCTCTAAGATACTTTTAGTTTGTACACTAAAACTGCTTTAGTCCTCTATCGTGCTTCTATGTCTCTAGGTTTTCCTTTTTATCTCTGACGTTAGGCATCAGGCTGTGTTCTAAGTGGACCTGTGATTTCCTTTGATTTTGCTGATAAATAACCTCAATCAGCACTGAAATGACTGTCGTGTAAGAGTGATGACTAATCCCTGCAGGAGTGCAGTGAGCATCCTGCATTTTCCAGCTGAACTAGTAAACCTCATGGCTTCAATATATAAATTAAACCCGACGTTCATGTTTTTAGAGAAATAACACCCTTTGATGTGTAATATTCTTACCAAATTGCCTCATAAGGATGCTTAACCATGAAGCATTTTTATCACAAGTAAAATGATTTAATTTCTGTCAGTAATTCGATCCAAAAGGTAAAACTTATGTTAAATATGGTTTTTAAAAACACTGTAATGCAGGGCTTCACATTTCATTAAATGATTATTGTTTACAGTGGGTTGCTTGGTGGTGCACTATTTTCCGTGCAGCAAGATGGTTATGGGTTCTATCCCCTGCCTAGAGTCTTACTACATGGAGTTTGCATGTTGCCATGTTCATGCATGGGTTCTATCCATATATTCCAAATTATGTCCCTCTTTGCTCTCCCTCCTTTATTTTTCTAATCCTGTTCTTTACCATTATGCTACACGGGACTCCAGATACAAATGTGCCCCAATAGATTAATCTATACAATTTACATGATAAACTGACTTATGCTAATTCATGTGTTTTGTCCTGTTTTAGTAAATACGATAGACAAAGTAATACTCTAGGTACTTAATTTTCAATAAAGTACAAAATACCCTAATTTGACGATGACGCCAAAAGACTGAGCGACAATCCAGTCAGTTTATTTCTGAACACTGCTGATGTGGTATTTGGGTCAGAAGTCTTATTACAAGAAATACCATAATATGATAGGTTCTTGATATGTTTGTGTGTCCGGTCTGACTCCAGCTGCAATCCACGCCTTGTGAATCTACTTAAAATTATTGCATGGACTTTGTGTACAGTCCTACAAAGCTTGTTTACCTTTCTTTTACTGAACTTTTTCCTTCCACTTAATTGTCTATTAATATATGTGAATACAGCACTGTGTCAACAGCCAGCTTTATTAGTCTAGTTAAAGACTCTAAGATCAGGAGTGTTTCCAATTAATCTGTCAGCTGTAACATGAGAGTTTAAATAGTATTTTAAATTTCCCTGAAACCAAATCACTCATTATTTATTAACTATTAAACACTAATGGCAAATAATGCTTGAAATATACCACTTTCTTTCAAATCTACCACTGTGTGTCTAAAATCATTACATATTCTATGGGTCTACCTTTTTAATTTGAATTAAAAAAATAAATTTACCTTTTAAAGATATAGTCTAATTTCTCGATAGACTTTTTAAAACAACAGAACTACCCTTTTATCAAACAATATCTAATGATCTAAGTCTGAGTGTAATTCTCTCCTGCATTAACAAATAGCAATAATCTACTAAATTGCTGTTGCTACCTACATTATTACTACAAGCCTCCGCTGCAGCACAATGCTACCAGCCCCAAGCTACAAAGTCTAGAATATTTTTTCAGCAAAACCCAGGACTGAATGATACAAATCAAACTTCCATTTCTGGTCCTGACAAAAAAAAGAAAAAAAGAAAAAGTTAAATTCCAAGTAAAGTCAAGGTAAAGATGATGAACTGCAGTATAGCATGCTATTTATTTGTCAGTAAAATACCATTGGTAAAGTATGCTGGATAGCTCCTCCAAAAATGACTATGAAATCAATGCTGTGATTGAACTGCCTCCACAATAGGTTGAATAACTGCAGTGACATACTTCAACTTCAGATTCTTTCTTTGTGCCTGGAGTCAGGTGCTTTGCCATCTGATTGGCCCTAAAACACTGAAAACTAGTGGATATCTCTGTTGTTTTGGATATTCTCCTGCCATTTCTTCTATTGTTTTCTTGCATTTCATGCAAGAATGCTCTTCCAGCCATTTTTTATAAAAGCACTGTGTAGCACAGATGCTAACGCAGCATGACTTCTGATGTTTTGGCGTCTTTTGAACTGCAAAGCTTTGAAAATTATGAAAGGGCTGACCCCGAGTCCTTTTTAAGCGAATCTTTACCACACTGTAGCATTGATTTGAAGAGTTCTAACCTTTAAGGTTATCCTCATAATTATGAGGTCATTACACTGACGTTCATTTTTGCTTTAAGTTTTAGTTTTCATCCTTCTACACATGCAGATGAAGAATTTCAAAGCAGACACCCACAGGGATTGCAACCACAGCAGACAACAAATTCACAAAACTGTTAAGCAATTACTGCTATTATGTTCTTACCCAGCTGCTGCACTGGGTTTAGCCGGGTTTGAAGTAAATATAAAGAAAATACTTGAGAGCTGATACTTTTAGCCTTTTCTCACCTCGACCACTCCACTCAGCCAAGAACAAGTAGAATGACAACTTACGAATAAGAGGCACACTGGCATTAGCCGTCCCCAGCTTGTTGATGGCGACACACGTGTAGTTTCCATAACGATCCTCTGTCATGTTGTTCACTGTGAGGACTGATCTGGAGCTGAGACTCTTGATGTCGATACCGTGGCCCCTAATGATCCTAAAAAGACCAAAGTAAATGCAACAAATGAGGCTTTGATTTCTCACCTGTACACAAAGCTTCAATAGGATCAAACCAAGAATCCTGCAATTGTCTTCTTAAGTGGATCATTATCACCCTCTACAGCTTGTCTATTTGTTTCATTGTGGGTCACTTTTGCTCTGGAGGGATGCTTTTGAAGGACTGTGATAAGAGTGCAAAGAAGCAGAGGGGGAGCGGTAGGATGACAAATGGCTTATTGCAGTTGGACAGGATTAAAAACATACAGTTGAAACGAGATGCACTGTTTATAATGACACATACCTGGTTCCTTACTGTTTGATATCAAATCAGTCTAATACTTGGTTTCAGATCAGAAGAGATGTTAATATATGTCTGTTTGATAAATAATTAGTGATAAGCCCTGAAGCTACTTTATGTAATACATTCAGAGAGTCCCTTCTATAGTGACTCTGTAAGCATATGTGGGTCAAGCATTCTGGAACTTCTTTACCAGGCTTTTCACAAAGGTTAGCTGGGATTTTGGTCCATTCCTCCGAATACCAGTTCATAGGACTTAACAGGATTTTGCTTTTGTCACTCCTACAGTTTAACTATGTTGTCCTTGGACCCTTATGTTAAAATTAATTACTTCTTGGGTAATACATTGAGTTTTCTACATTAACATCCAAATATGTCCTTGTAAATTCAACTATTCCTTGGACAAATTAATCCAACAGCATGATGCTTCCATATTTTTTTTCTGCAGCTGAGGTAGTGTTCTATGACTTGCCAAAACAGTCCTTATTGATATAGACTTCAGTTTTAGTTCTATCAGATCAACAGACTTGGCTTCAAGAACAAATTTCTTTGTCCCTGAATGCACTAGCAAACCACACTGTGTGGTTTTTTTTCTTGTTTTTTATGGTACTCACAATGTGCTGGCTTATGCCTTGCAGAGCAGCCTTTTAGCAAATTTTGGTACAGTATAGGATGTGTTATAGTGTGAATGTTGACATTTTCTCGCCAGCTTTAACATTATGTCTTTGGATCTTTGGATAATTGGACCTGACGACAAGATTCTCTCTGGGAAAAAAACACTTTCTCCTTTTCGAAATAGTAGTATGTTTGGACAAGTAAACAAGTGTTAGTATGGATGGCATTGTTGTCTTCAGCCATCTGATTAATTTAACTGTGACACAGCCTGGAGAATCACTCCAGATGGGTGAAATTCAGGCTGAGAGGCCTTGCTGCCATCAAAGGCGCTGCCCTTATCTTGAGACCATGCCCAAAAAGATTTCTGAAAGCAGCAACCCTTGACAAACATTGAATGATAGTGTAAATTCTCTAACACACAATCCAAAATCAATTATGGAAATTACTATTCACATATATCGAAAAGAAATACAACAGAAACACACACAATGGAAAAATTGTAGGTAATAATACAAAAGGCAATAGTTTAAATAGTTCTATGATGCAAACTTGCTCCATAAAACAGAATGTACCAGACATCTAGGGGTAGTCAGCCACCAATTAAATGTATTGGACCAAAGCAATGACATTTACTGAATGCCCAGAAAAAAGTATTAGAAAAACAAAGGTTCATTTTCTTTTATGTATTTTTTCTAAGGCCATTCATTTGGCAGTTATTAAGAACCGCAGCAAATTTACATGAATGAAATTGCTGTGGTTCCATCTCATTCGTGGGTCAACTCTGGGGCCCCTGGTAGTGCAGAGCAGGACAGAAGAGAATGAACAAACTGGTGAGAAAGGCCGTTTCTGTCCTAGGCTGCACTCTGGGCCCAGCGGAGGAAGTGGTTGAGAGGAAGATGCTGTCCAAGCTTACATCCATCATGGACAACACTCTCCACCCTCTGCACCAGACTGTAGAGGAGCTGAGCAGCTTTTTTTGTGAAAGACTTTTACACCCTGTTTGTAAATAGGAGTGCTACCACAGGTCATTCATCCCTGCTGCAACCAGACTCTACAATGGCAATAACTTGTACAATGTATAATATGCAATTACAATTTGATACCCTGTGCAATAACCTGTTTCTCTATATTTGACACGCATTGCAATAACTATATATATTAATATAAATATCCATCTATATAAATACCAATGTAAACACCCTGTGCAATAACCCTGTATAATGATCCTGCTATAAAGAAAAAAAATAAATAAAAAAAAGCTGTCATACGTGGATGCACTGTACATACAGCATATATCCCATGCACCTCTTTCTTCCTTTGGCACCTTCTTTTTCTCTTTTGACTATTTGAGCTGATGTAACAAGTAAATTTCTCCACTGTGAGATCAAGAAAGTAAGTCAATCAATCAATCAATCAATCAATCAATCAATCAATCAATCAATCAATCAATCAATCAACTCTGCCTGGTGGACTGGTACATTTCCATTTTGTGGTCAGGTTTGCAGCTTTTTTTAACCTGCTGTTTTTTTCAGTATTCACAGACATTTTCATTTGATTTGATTTTCAGTAGCATTTGTTTTTGGGGCTTTATGGAGTTTGCAATATTTATATGCTTGCAATGTGTTTTGCTGTTTGTGATGCGTATAACCACTGGCTTCTGAGATTCTCTTCCTAGCATCTAAAATGATTTGTTTGGACATTCCTATCCAGTGTTGTATGTATGACCACCTAACCCAAGAAAAAGTTAAGATCAATAACATAGTGTATCAAGACCAAGAATTTTAGGGGCTGAGACCAAGTCGAGAACAGGACCAATGGATGGCAAGACCGAGTCAAGACCAAGACCACTGCCCCACACTTCATGTCACAGTAAAAAATTTAACATGATCAAAAATTCTTCTATAATTATTTTTTAAGATCCAGATTTAAATAAAAAGTACAATACATCATACACTATTGGCCTGATCTTTAAAGATTCCAAATAAGAAGCTCGAAATAGCACATGCAATTATTTTTCACATGTAATAAGTGGGCTTGTTGCAGGTGTTCTACAAAAAATTGGTGAGCAAATGTTAAGAAGTGCAAACCAATGTGGTACTGCCCATTAGCTAATTTCATGTTCTACAAACAGTTTGAGAATGGACATGAAAGAAAGATTATGTTCAGAGACATGTATGCGGAAGTTTTACTGATATTTTTATAAATAATGGATAAAGATAATACAAAAAAAATAGTTATTCAACTACAAAATATTATTTTATATACATAAAAAAACTATGACTTTCTTGCAGCAAGAATGACTGTGATTTGTGAGGCAGGGGGATAAAAAAAAATGTCTTTAGCACATGGCCATAAAGTAAAAAAAACATAGGGTAAATAAAAATCAGCAATAATTAGAATAAAAAAAGTATTATTTAATTGTTAATTTATGAGGTTACAGCGTATACTGGAATGGATGCATTTCAAGTCACATTTACCGTAAATGTTTTTTTTTTACTGAAATATTTAAATTTTTTAATCAATTAAGTTTGCAATACTTATGGCTTCTTAAATGCTGCAGTCCAACTTTTAACATTTATAGACTTCTGCTTGTATGAAAAGTTTAGATCTTAGTTCTAAATGATATTTCCAGGACCTTCGCTCAGCAGTTAACGCTCTACTCTATGGCCCGATCTGTTTATTTCCTGCCGATCACCTCCAGCCTGATCCTGCAGGTACAATGGTGGGCATGTCTGGTTTACACATCACTCCAGCACATAATAGAAACAGTGTAGCCTCTAAACAATATCTATTGGACCTATCCCACAGTAATTATAATTCAATTTAGCAAAGGTGCACAAAGATAGGGGGTTGATGGAGCAAGAGCAGTAACAAAATGTATTACTGAGTTTTCTTATTGGTTATTTTAAAAACATTACATTTTACACAAACAAATGAAGGGTGTTAACAAATAAATGTCATGTTTTTTCCTTAGGTCTTGTCTTTTATTATATTAAAGAAAAATCCCAAGTACATATGCAGTTTATTAAGTACAAGACGTGACGGAGAGCGTTAAAAAGTGGTCTATAGACCAAGACTGATCTTAGGTACTATAACAACACAAGCATTGTGAGAGTCAAAAAGGCATCCAACCATTAACTAGGATGCTTTTGCATGCTAAAGTTGGATCTTCAATTGCTTTGTTGATGCTCTGGATGCCTAATGCATCTGACAGCCATACTTTGTTCTTTTTCCTTGACTTTCCTATACAATGGCAGAAGCAATCATGAAAGGGGCTGGGCTTCATTTGCTGAATATAATAGCAAGAGAATTTAGTAATTTGACACTGCTGTACAGTGTCTCAATTTACCAGACAATTTAGAAGTGATAGGACTATCCTATTTCTAAAAAAAAATATTATAAAAAATATTTAAATATTTAATATATAAAAATATTATTTCTAAAATATCTCCAGTCTGCCTGCAACCACTTCAAAGTTTCTTTAGCATCAGTACGTATTTCTCACAGTCGCTAGTTTAACATCAGTCCTGACAATGCTTCCCAATGTCATGGTGAAAGAAAGCTCCCCACGCCGACGGATGTTCAGATAAACATTCCCCTACTTCCACTCAAAGAATGAAAGCAATGACAGAGAAACGTTAACTTGTCAAAACTGTCACAGTATGTCTGATGTAGATAAAGTAAAAGAGACGCTGCACAAAAGCAAAGACGCTGCTTTTACTTCATGTGCTCAATGAACTTGCTGAGAAGAAATCTTCAACTCTGTGCTTGAGTCCTCTCACTAATGTCTGGTCATAATTACAAGTAGAAGAAAAAGAAATCACAATTTAGCCATGTGAGAAGTCACAGAAAGAACGAGTACTTGAATTAAGAAAAGACCGGAATTATGCCAACTTGCCTCCTTAGCAATTTGAATAAATTGAATCCGCCCAATAATTACAATTAGCACAGTGTGAGCTGATGAATGAAATTGTGCTCACCAGGAGTGGGTAAATGATGGGTAATAGGTATAATTTGGTTTTTAAAATTCAAGAACGAACACTTGAATCTAGACTGATTGATGTATGTGTCAGAAGAGATTTAAGTCATTGCCTTCAAACATTTGATCAGAATGCAAGGTGAGAAAAAGACACAAATGACTCCTGCTGGAGTGTTTAAGTGGGCTCTCCCCAAAGGCATGAAGGAACACAGAAAAGATGATCTGTGGGGAAAAATAAAAAACAAAAACAAAGAGCTTTTCTATAAAGGGATGCATTCACCTAACACTTAAGTTACCGGTTAAACACTGTTGAAAAAATACTAACATAAAAATCTTTATAAGCAATTAGCATCTGTTTGTTACACAAAAAACATGATTCAAAGATACTTTGATACTTCGTTTGTCATATTTGGAAATATGTGGGTTCCCAGTCACCCAGATCATAGCCATTCCAAAAAAAAAAAAAAAAAAAAAAACAATCCACTGGACTTTGTATCTAAGTTTGAAGACATTTTGCATCCAGGAAGATTTTTCAATTCAACATGCCAGAATTAGCATTGAGGTCGTAGCTTTATAAAGACAAAGCCTTGTTTTGGCTTACTGTAGAAAACATGCAAAATGAACTGCAGGAAAGGGTCCGCTTCTTAGGAATGAGGAGTCGTTGAGATCTTTTGTTAGCCTGCATTACCAGATACTGGTCTATGCATACGAAACCCCCATCCCCATGCAGGCGACCAAAAAATCTCACTTGGTCAGCCAGGTAAACAATGGCCCAAACGACTCCCCTTTCAGAGGGGAAACAAAGGGAACCTATTTGGAAATGTTTTTTTATTAAGATTTTTATTTTTAAGATATTTTTCAAACTGGTTTGTTTTTAAGCAGGAACCTGCTTAAAGGCCAGACTGATGCATACATGGAAAGATAAGACTGGTAAACACTGGAAATGAATATTACTCCAGTAGATTTCTTTGGAGATTTCACAATATTCCATAATTTACACTATTTTCTCCTAAAACTTTACATCTAGGATAAGCAACTTTTTATAAATGCACTCAGAACTAAGAGAAATAAAGGGGGCTATCAATTAAACAGCCATTGTGTAAATGAACTGTGAGACAAAACAGAATTGTCAAGAAAAAAAACTGTGTAGTTGGATTAAGACCATTTGAACTCTTACAAGAAAAACAGTAGTTCAGAATATAGCTTTTTTTTTATTTCACAATTTCTGTTTTCTCATGTTCAAACAATGAAGATTTTAGCTGATATGCAACACCATCATACAAATATGCTTTTCATAGAACAAACTTGAACACATTAGGGCATCTTATCGCTGTCTGTACGTTGGCGTGAGTGGGAGGCACAATGTGATTAATGTTCTCTCAGTGCATTTTTTTAGTTAGTCAGGCTTTTACCACCAGTTCTAAAGCAGCACTAACATTTTTACCTTAATATCTGCTCTTCTAAGTCCCTGTGATGGTAATCTAGGTGTTTATGAGACTAATCAGTGGGTTTGTCATCTACCCCATCTGGCCCTGGTCGGAACATCAAGCAGGTTTCTGTGAACCCGACCAAGATTGATGTTTTGCGGTATGACGAGCAGCTTTAAGGCAGCCCAATGTAAGGCCATTTTCATTAATAGCCACACACCTCATGCTGTCCTATCCACAGGTGATAATAGAATTTTTATTGTTTATGATTTTGGATGTTAATGACTTGGTGGAAACTGCAAAACAAAAAGAAAGAGGCAATGAAAATCATTGCTTGAAGAGAAAACAGAACTGCATTGGAACAGGGTTAACAGTATATGACTAAGGCGTTAGCTTGGCTGCTCCACCTCAAACAGAAACAAAGAGTGCAAACTAATGCGACAATGTACCGTTAAATACATCTGCTAACCTTTGTTAGTGCTACTAGTGTGAATTTAGAGTGATAATTTTTTAGTGTGCAATTATAAACAAGAAGAGGCCAAATCACCTTTTTAATGGTTTACTCAAGAGACTTTAAACTTTTAGACTTTAGACAGATTTTGTCATTTTGCTTACACAAGTGTAAAACAAAAAGAAATTTTGTTTGGAAACAGCTCACTGGACAATTTCATCTTTTAAAAGTGTAGCTTTAAAAAAAATAGTAAAAATGGCTGTAAATTTACAGTTCTAACTTTTTTTTTAATTTTTTATATAATGATAAAATATAAGAAATATAATAATAAAATACAATACAATAACACATGAAGTGCATTTTATAGAGGGAAGAGCCAGACTTAAACATAACTGACTTGCATTAAAGTAACGATTTGTAAACCAAACGGCTGCTGTACACTAGTTTACATTACACAATGTACAATACCACCCACCTCTATGGACATTTGATTGTGACATGGGTATTCCAACTTAGGGCCCTCTCACACCTTGATGATTTAGACGGCCTATGCCCCACGTCCTAGAATCTCCTAAAACGCTGGCAAACGCTGAACCTTCTACATATTTTTTCAATTTTAGGCATGTACACAGCGCATTCATAACGAGTCCAGAACTCATGTCCAATGACATACTAACTTATGCATAAAGCAGGGCAGTGTAATGCCTATGAAATGTCACAAGCCAGTGTCCTGAGGGGGCAGCAATGCGCCCGGTCTGCATAAAAAGATGTTTCTGATTGCAGTATTAACCTAGCTGCTTCTTACCACCCGCCTAAAAAAGAATAAAAAAAAAAAAAAAGAAGGTTTGCAGGCGCAGCAGATTCAGCATCATGTCTGCTAGGAAGTTTGTTGTTGGTGGCCATTGGTGTGAACGCAAGGAGGATTCATCACTCTCACCTTGTTGCTCACCCTATGTGGCGATGAGGCCAGGAGGAGAACTGACAGTTTCCTCCTGTGAACCCCTTTTATTACAAAATTCTGCCAAAATGCCATTATACAATAGCTGTAAGTTAGAAACAGGTTCAAAGGGCACCTGGAACACGTCATATATGTTGATATGAGTTGGACACAACTTTTTCATAAGTTACGCATAACTTACGCACAAGTTACTCATAGGTTTTGGATAATCTAGACACAACGATTTATAAGTAACTTACAATTAATCTATTTCAATGATCAGATAACTTACCTGCAACTTATGGCCCACCTATGAGCACACACTGGCATACATCATACGTACTTTAATGTCTGCGTGTGCCAGCGGCTTCCAGCGTGATTTAGCTTACTAATAACTTATACAAAACATACTCATAACTTATTCAATGTAAGCCAGCGTTTTTGCCAGATTCTTGGTATGTCAGGCATACGCTGCTCTAAATCTTCAAGGTGTGAGAGTGCTGTAACTGTAGGGTGTGCAGTTAGCAGAGGGTGTCTGTGTTTACCACAGTCCATTTTTTATAATGTCCTTTAGGGGGAGCATGACTTGAAAATGACTTAGTGCTGTTTTAAAACAGTTATGGTAGATTCAATTTCTACAAGCTATGACTGTGCGTTTGCAGGGCATTTGTTTCTGTACTAGCCCTGCAAAGGACAGGTGACCTCTAGGTTTCTCCTCCACTGAATGCTAGGAAAGGTTCAGAATGCCTTCAACTAACGGCATTTTTAACCTATCTCTATTAATTAAAAATTAATAGTGAGAAAGACAGAAAGATTGACAGACAGACAAACAGACAGACAGACATCTTATAAAACGTGTATTTTAAAAGTATTATATAGATTAGTTTTCTATTAGGAGATAGTTATTGTCATCTTACATTTTCAGCTGTAAAAATATTCTTCTGTTCACCTGTCATTAAAAGTGAAGAGCTTTATGTATATTTTCTTTTTCTTTTCTTTATAAACACCTTAAATAAATGGTCTGAATTACTGCTAACTTATTTTATAATATAGAAACAAAATCTAAAATGATCGTTTTTCCTTTTTAGCCATTATAGGCATCACAGTAAAACATTCTGTTGTATGAGGGGTATTACAAGTTCTTTTTTTGCGAGCATTTAGTCATGAATAGAAAATTCAAAATATTGCTAAAAACAGATAAAATGTTTAAATCAGTCATTTATATATAAAATTAAAGATTAAACATGGCATTCTTCTCAATGCATATTCAGATCTGCAAAGGGACTCAAAAGAAATATCCGGAACAGTTGTTAAAAAAACAACAAAACAAAAAAAGCAACACTTAATGACCCCTATGTTCTAAGATTCTCAACCTCTAAGGTTGACTCTATATTCTGTCACTCAGCAGCATGAAAGCCAGATCCAGAGGACATATATAAGTGTGATGTAAATATGTTATGACATTACAGAAGACACACTAAAACAAGACTTACCTTTTCTCACCCTTGTACCACTCAAAAGTTGGAGAAGGCACAGCAGCAGCTTCACACCGCAGCAATCCTATGCGTCCCAAACCAACGCCGTGACTCTTCATTTCGTGAATACTCGGTGGAACTGGAGAAACACATCACAGAACATCTTAGAATAAGGAAAACATTTCTTTTCTATTGTTTGTGTAAGAATATCGTTAGGAATCGAGGTGTGCCTAAGACATGACCTCTGACATTCTGGTCTCTGCTCATTATGTGTAAGATAAACGGAAGGCTCAGGGTCAACAGATGCTGAAAAGAAGAGAGGAGAATGGCCTCCTTATGTAGAGAAAAATGAAGAAGGAAATGAATTGCACAGCATGGTGATAAATGGCTTAATGGAAGTTCAAAGACTGACTGGTAGAGGCAGGTTCTTTGAATGCCAAACGAAATTCCTTTCATGTGCTGAAATGTGGTGTAAATCGCTTTGCCTGTCATGAAGGCATATGGCGGTTTCCAAAGCAACAGCATTTCTTTAGTACTTTTAATATTTACCAAGCTTCTAAAAATTATGCCTTCAAAACATTTGGAATCTTTGACATAAACACAAATTAAATACTGTTTTGTTTAACTTGGTTAAAAAAAATGTATATAATTTGAGTATGATGACGGTTTCACTGTAGAGCCTCATTAACATCATTAATACTTTGTATCCCCAGAACCAAACATGCAGCTTCAAACTGGAACAAATTCCAAGAAAACTGCAAAACTGTCAAAAGACTAAATTCCTTTAAATTGAGGATGAAGACCCACCTGTTTACATCTGCCTTTGATTAGTAGTTCACAAACAAATCAAGGTGAAAATGTTCTCTAACAAAATGATAATCATCTGTATCTAGGTGATGGTTTTTATGTTTTTGTGAGACGAGGATGTTTTGATTATTTGCTTTGAACTTGATTGGTTTTTAATGAATTAAATGATTTAACTTTTCTACTGATGTTTTTAGGATGTAAAGCACTTTAAATTGGCTTGCCACTCAAATATACTATACAGTACAGGTACATTTTCACTTACACTTTTATTAAGAAATATTTTTAGCACAACACTTATATACTAAATTGTCATCGTTAAACAGAGACCGACATGGATGGAAATGAATAATAACATAAATGGCTACAAAAGGAATTATACCCGCTCTGCTCTTCTGTCACATTAGGACTCCAAACCTGTTTAGCAGAAATTGAGACATGATCTCTTTCTTCTTTTTCAAAAAAAAAACAAAACAAAAAAAAAAAAACAAGCTCACTTATACCTAAAAAAACAGCAGTTTCTATGTTTTCGCAACAAGATTCTTAAATCTATTAAGGTTTGAACTGACTTCAACTGAGCCATTCTTTTGTCTTTTCTCTGCTGTAAATTGAACATCCATCTTTTCATTATTTCAGACCAGCTTCGCTGTCCCTGGTTAAAAGGCCTCCTCACAGCTTGATTTTACCTTGACTATCATTCTTTGTGGTGACGGTGTGTTCTGATGTGAAATATTAGTATTCCATCATAGGAAGTTATTTACGAGTAGGCCATAGAGTTTCATCATCCTCTACGGTGTCTATCCTTCATAGTGTATTGCAAACTTTAAGTTATATTTATTATGGTTTGTTTTCAAATATATCTTTATGCCTCTAAAAAACTTAGTAGCATCATGTATAATGATAATAAATCTTTTTCTCTTCCTTAAGTAGCAGATTTATATACAGTCTTTTACCTGAATCTCTGCAGCTCCTCCAGAGTAACCATTCTGTACATCTTTTTGCTGCTTTCTGGTAAACATTTGACCTGCAGGTGGATGATGTCTTGGTAGGTGTGTGATTTTTATGATGTCACAATAATGGGTTATAAGATGTCCAAAACCTGGGATATGGATTCATAATCAAATTCTGCTTTAACTGTAGTGCAATCCTTATCTGTCTAGATGTCATGTCTAAAATGTTCTCACTCATCTTCTTGAAATAACCTTGAAATAATCTTCTTGAAATAGGCCTTAATAGAATAGCTTGATTTCTTGTGAAACAGAATTAAAAATCATAATTAAATACGTCAAAGATACAGTTTAAAATGTAAAAAAAAAAAAAAAAAAAAACTATTTATATCACCTGCAAAACTACGGAGATATTAATAGTAATATATTGCTTCTCCGAGTTCAAGAAGCTATAATACCAAACAGGAAACCAGTTGCTTCGACCAAATGGATTAGAGCTGATACTGGGTAACTTTGTCTTCAATTGTCAAAACTTTCAAACAATAAGAAGTTTGCAGCGTAATTAAGAAGACAAAAAGACATTAACAACTAAATCAAAGTTACTCTGTTCCATTGATCCACTATTCTGTCTAAAAGCATAAAGAAAAAGATTACACTCCAAGGGTCGCTCCTCTTTTCAGCCGTAAAACACCCGACCGGGTTTGAAAGTGAGAGAGGGACTATATAAAATGTTGACAATGAATTTTTCAGAACGACCTGATTGTAAGAGATGTGGTCTGCACCCAGTGGAAAAGGCTTGGCTAAATGCCTGCAAACCTCTCCTTTCAATTGGATCTGGAGATGTTACTGATTAATGACCTCTGCTGGGCTGCAGCAGCCTCCCAAGAAAACTACATAAAGCCAGTTCTGATCAAATATCACCAACTGCAGACAACAGCAGACTTCTCTAATTGGCAGTTGAAGTTTGGGCGTGGATTAGACGTATCATAAAGCATTATGGCATATGTAATATTTGCTTGACATATGTTTTGTTTAATTAAAAGAGTGAAAAGCGGAGCCAGCGTGTGAGCAGTAATTCTGCAACCCTGATAGTCACATCAGATAAATAAGGTTTAAGATTTAACATATCAGTGCAAAAAAAGTACAAACATAATTTGTAGATATTGTGTATAAGCATGGAAGAGAAACATAAAGTGATAGGGTGCTCTGGGATGATGGATGTCCTTCAACAAGCCTTCCTTTGCACCCTAATGAGCACATTTATAAGCTGGCTCTTTGTTTTTTTTACTCTTTTCATATTTCTGGCAATTATGCTGTTACTTTCACTTCTTTAGCCTGCGTGAATAATGCCAAGGTCTTTAGAAAGTGACTAAAGCAAGAGGTGATGCTTCAGCTTTTTTTCATTTATCACTGTGTAAAACAAGGCAGGGGAGGTGGAATAGGGACTGAAAACCTTGAAAATATGTCTGTCTGTGTCTAACCAAAATATCCAATGAATACTTCTAACAATCTTATGTTTTAGATATCAAACAGATCTGCTTAAACCGCACCGTATTTTTCTTGCCTTTTTAAAAGCCGGGAACCAACCAGCAGTCTGGAGGAAAAGCAGATGCTGCCTACATGGTGTCATATTTTATCACATAAATGATAAGCATCTAAAAATGTGTGCATTAGAGAATGTCTGGATAATATCTGAAGCGAAGGTATGAAACGATGGGATGCAGAAAAAAATAAATGCCACCAAACTCAACACACGGCAATAAGAAATGTGACAAAATCAATGCAGCATGCTGACCGACAGCAGCTTAGCGAGTCCTCGTAATCCTCCATTGGTGTCATTGTGCAGCACCATTGATTATCTGAAGCCTCTCAAAGTGTCAGGGTGACCTAGCTGTCGTCCTGTACAGTTACCAGGACAGTGAACACAGCGGCTCAGCCAGGTGAGTCAATACTTTAATACTCACACCTGAAAGCTTTAACAAATAAGAATATAACATACAAGCATAAACATATAAGATTTTTTCTGGTAAAAATAAGAACATTGAACAATATATCTTAATGTAAACCTGCAAAATGTGTATACTGTCATGTGTCACTTGAATTAATAACAAAGGATTTGCTTGGGCAGCAAGCACTGTTTAAACAAATTGTGTTTTTTTTTTCCTTTTCCTTTAGAGTCAATGGATTTCCTATTTACAGTATGGTTAATTTGGTTTACTCATCTTCATGAGAAGTTGTTATAATCCTGGCAAGAAAATACGATTAAACAAACAAATCAGCAAATATAAACTCCAGGTGTTTATCCATTACACCATACAATAAAGAGGTGTCTGATGAGTTTCCAAAATCCTTCTTCAGCATGATAACACTCCCAAATAGGACTATCAAACTCAACAATGCTTTCAAGCATCTAAATCCAATGAACTGGGCAAACCTGCTTAAACCTGAATCTATTGCAACCAATTTGAGTAATGCTACCTATAAGAGCATTAGGTTCTAATGGTTCCTGCACTGATATTTATTAATCATCACAGGAATCCTTATTAGGGAAGCTGGTTATATAATTATGATCGATTTTTTTTTCATCAGTTATTAATGAGGATTTTTATTTTCTCTAAAGAAAGCATCTATTATGAGTAACATTACATTTTCATGCACATCTCCTCTTGTAAAATTGGTTAAACATATTTAATACTGATTTATATTTAGAACCCTGCGATGATAAGCCGGTCTAACAGGACCTTTGACAGACAAATCTTTTTTTTTTTTTATTGAATGCACCATAAATTCTTACAATCTAATTACCCAGTTCTATATTGGCTTACAAGGACAACAATATTTGCCCAAAACAACACTACTTGAGACAGCCTTTAAATCTCAAATTTTTAAAAACAGGGCTGAGCAGATTTACCTGTTATTGTCTCTGCTGTTTGTCAGTCATTCAATATTCAGGACAGATTCTTTGTCTGACAGCTGTATTGTTATTTTTTTTTACAGCAGAGCTTTTTTATACACCATGGATGTAATTTAAATCTAAGTAGCTCAACAGTAAGTTGAAGTTGTCAAAATTAGCAACTATCAGTGGCAGAACAGCCAATGCTTAGAATACTTAAAGGTTTTGTGGAGGATTTTCCCCCATTTTTTTAATTTTTAAAATTTCTCTTAATTTATGAAAAGACCCGCACTCTCCACTTTAAAAAAAATGCACATAAACAACCCCGTGCCCACTCCCGAGATTGAACGCCTATTAAATGCGTCAGAGAGCCTGCACGAGCCTAGTTCTACTTGTGCACACTCTGTTTAAAAGTTGCTGTTCTCAGAGCTCATAAAAGCTCACTATGTCCAAACGTCCGCCTCTAAATTCTTCAGTAACTATTTAAGTAGGGAC